TTAATTTCTGCACTATCGATACAATCATAAAAAATACTTTTTGGAGCGTTATTATTTATATTTCTATATGATCTTCAAATCAATAATAGTGAAAATGAAATGTTAAAGCCCAAAATAACCTAATATTATTTAAGAACTTATGGATTTAAATTATATTCGTCTTGAAGATAAACATTTTTTTAATATTATGTTATTATTTATCATCATTTGAAACTTAATAATTCAATTGATATTTTACTTTTTTAAATACGTGCTATTTTTCTTGTAACATTGTAATTTTTTCATAAAAAGACACTCAAAAAATGCTCATCGTCATCCAAAATGCAAACTTTTTGTAAAATTGAAATCTGATTTGAATTATTGGTTAACATATGTTCATATTAAACATTTCGTACATTATTCAGATCTTAATTCATTTTTTTTTAAATATTTTTCTTCAAACATTATGATTTTTTCAATAAAAGCATGTTCAAGCATGGGCAGCAAGGTTTCAGTAAAAATGAGTTCTGAATTGAATTACGAGTTTGTTTTTGTAATAAACGTTTCTTATATGATTCAGATATTAATTTTATTTTTTTAAACATTTTTCTTCTGGCATTATAAAATCTTTAATAAAAACATGCTTAAATAGAGTGTCTTATACGAGCTTTACCAAATCGATTGAAAAAACAGCAAAGTTTTAGTAAAAAGAGTTCCAAATTGAATTATGATTTTATGTCTATAAAAAACATTTTGCACATGATTTAAGTCTTAATTCAATATTTTTGCACTAATATTGTATTTTTTATAGTGCTTAAAAAGAGTTTATATAAGCACATTCCAAACGATTGTAAAAAACAGCAAATTTTCAGTAAAAATGCAATATGAATTAAATTATGAATGTATGTTTATAATAAACGTTCTATATATGATTCAGAACTTAACCCTTTCCATTCGGATGCCAACGCTTTGGCGACAATAAACGTATTCATTTTGCAACTAGGGTTAATTATATTTACAATATTTTTCTTCTAATATTATGAATTTTTTTTATAAAAACGTGCCAAACGATTGAAAAAAATAGCAAAGTTTCAGTAAAAATGAGTTCTAAATTGAATTATGAGTTTATGTTTATAATAAACGTTGCTTATATGATTCAGATATTAATTTTATTTATTTTTATATTTTCTTATGGCATTATGAAAAATTTTATAAAACATACTGAAATAGAGCTCATTATGGGAGCACAACCCAATCGATTGAAAAAACAGCGAAGTTTTTGTAAAAAGAATTATTAATTATTAAAGAATTATGTTCTGAATTAAATAATGAATTTATGTCTATAATAAACATTTCGTACATGGTTCAGATTTTAATTCAATCATCTTCAATATCTTTTCTCTATTCTAAAAAATGTACATTATATAAACACATTCTAAACGATTGTAAAAAATAGCAAATTTTCAGTAAAAATGAAATATGAATTAAATTATGAATGTATGTTTATAATAAACGTTCTGTGTATGATTCAGAATTTCACCCTTTTCACTCGGAAGCCGCCGCTTTGGCGACAATATACGTATTAATTTTGCAACTATAGGGTTAATTCTGTTTTTTTTCTATATTTTTCTTCTAATACTTTTTGAATTTTTTTATAAAATCATGCCAAACTATTGATAAAAAAGCATGTTCAAGCATGAGCATAGTGCTCTGAATTGAAAAATGAGTTCTGAATTGAATTATGAGTTTGGTTGTTGTGTCTTATACATTCTAAACGATTGTAAAAAACAGCAAATTTTTAATAGAAATGAAATATGAATTAAATTATGAATGTATGCTTATAATAAACATACTGTATATGATTCAGATCTTAACCCTTACCACTCGGATGCCGCCGCTCCGGAGATAAAATACGTATTTTGTAACTCGCGTAGAAAGGGTTTTCTTCTAATACTATGAATTTTTTTATATAAACATGTTGAACGATTAAAAAAACAGCAAATTTTTAATGAGTGAAATAAGATATGAATTGAATTATGACTTCTTTGTATATTCAGATCCTAATAGAACAAAGTAATTTTTCCATATCACTTAATATTTTATTCTAGTCTATTTCAAATGTCAAGTAGACTAAAAAAAAATTTTCTTTATGGTTACAATTTTCGTCGTTTCTGGGGCAGAATGAAAGTTTTGGATTTGTTAGTTTTCTTGGGGCAAAGGATTTAGAATCACGTTGCCCTGAATATCATTTTACACCCAGTGTAGAATTATTCAGCAACTTCTTCCTTGTAATTTGTGTAAAAAAAACTGACCTGCATCCCCTCTGACTGCGCTCGTCCACGTTAAGTGCAGAAAAATCCAAATTACTAACGAAGTACGCGCTGACACACTCAACAGTCTCGCCGCACGCGGCACGACCACCTTATTGCGACCCATCCCCGGCGCGACGGGTCGTCGATAAATTTACACACAATCACACTATTGTCTTAAAATCTCCAAATATTTGATCTATAATTTATATTTGCTATATATTATTAGTTATACTCTCCGACTGCCAAATTGGGCTACATTTTACACATGTTTTCACTCCCTTTGACCGAGTCAAAATAAGTCACGACGCCGCGGACATGGCGTTATCGATGTCTAAACGATACTGATGTGACGGCATTAAATAGGATGTTGAACGGAAGATTAGATGAACTTAACAGATCTTTGAGCTTGAGTAATTGTTGGCCTTAGTACATGTTTGACTAGAAGAATAATTGGAGGGGCTTGGAATGCGAGAATGCACCATCGAATGAAACAGCATGTCATTAAAAAATTAAATGATATTGTTAACTGCAGAGAATATTTTATTATATTTAAATTAAGGCTTATATAAACTTTGTTTAATTGAAAAATAATAGATTTCCATACTTATTTATTTAGTCATTTACCAACTCTTGTTAATAAAATTCTAATTTATGTACATAATATTTAATGTTTATGCTGAGATTCAGTTGCTCATACGAAAATTGATTTTCTGCTCTTAGGTAGTATAAAGATTTTTGACAAATTTTAAAATTTTTACAAAAAAATAAAATTGAATATACACTCTTATTGCTCTTTTCCAGCAAGCCAGTTTATTAAGTTATTTATTTTACGATGAATTCAGATTTTGAACATTTTTCTTAGGCATTTTGGAGGGTTACGTCCTCAATTATTGCAGTTCTATTTATAATACTTATGTCCTCTAACTTTAACTTAATTAATAATCAATTAATACTCAAGTTAACATTTTCATTTTTTTTTTCAAATATCTTTCATTATTTTATCTTATTCTAATTAAATAAACAATATTGTTACATTCTGTATTATGTAATTTTTGTGTTAAGTTGTATATATATTAATTGTTATCCATAATGATTAATCAAATTAATTAATATTTTACTTGAAGCTTCAATTTTGACAAAAGTCGAATTTGACTTTCCCAGCGGATTCACCATTGTAAAAATGTGTTTTTGCTGTTTTTCAAACATTTATAACTGTTTTTTTTACCTCATAGGCGGGGTAAACTCGGACGGCCAAGGTGCAAACAGGTCCAATGTCTTATTTTAATTTTAAAGGGATTTTACAAAATAATTGCTACATTATTCAAGCAATACAAAATATAAATTTAATTGGTGCATTTTTTATAGTGATAATGCTGTAAATAACATTACATCAGAAAAGTTGTGAAATAGCTTATTTTAACCTAATTTCTTTTTATTTGCTATTTTAAAAAATTGAAAATTAATAATACATGTTATAAATTAGTTAAATAAAGTATACTTAAACATTATATTATAGTATGGTAAACTAAACAACAGTGCTCACAAACAAAAATACTAACGACGAAAGAAAGAACTTTTGTTATGGATTATAAAAAATTGCCGTTTTTTCCCCGATAGAAATCAAGGTGATGGCGACTTATACACCTTTTTCTCTACTTGCAAATATTGTTGTTCAAACATTCTTAATTTAACTTGTTTATGAAATATCTATGTTGGACCTTTATACCAGCGGACCTTTAAGCTTCGCTGTACCCTATTTCTTTATCACTGCATCACAAATCAAATTAGATTTAAATATTAAATATGAATATTATAAATCTAAACGGCATGCTGCCTACACATATAATCAGATTAGACGGATTTTTCTTACGACCCTACTAAAGCTGGAAAAAGCGCCCTATATGCAGTTACTTGAAAACCAATTTTCAGAAAGGTGAATCAGATTTGTTTCTAAATCAAATCGTTAAATATTATAATAGAAAACTTTAATATATTCAGTCAGTACGTGTTCTAATCTTATCGATTTGTAGTCATTAGTTAGTTCCTCTTCTATGATAACAAGTAATTATGATAATATTAGATGTATACATATTTAGATGTAAGAAGTATGGTAATTATCTCTTTTGTAGTGATATGACGCAAAATTTGTTTATGTTTTATTATCTAGGGATAAAAAATCTAGTTTTTTGCATGCCATTTAAAATAACAACATTGTGGTTAAAATGAATGTTTAGTTATTGACAAAACGATATTCTAAAATCAAAAAACGTTCTAGAATCACGAAATATTCAGTAACTACAATATTATTAAAATTTAAATTACTTTTATATATGATATCTACAGATTTAATGAAAAATATCATTTAATGAAATATTTGAGGGCCTTATACAATATTTTGCTCATGATTTCTATTTTATAAATTTTAAGATTATTAATAACAGTGTCTAGAATAGAATTATATTTAAAATTGTTTTTATTGAAATTTATTGTAACGTTGTCTTAACTATAACAATATCCTAGCCAAATACATGATACATACATATTAAAATTTCTAAATCATTTCGGAGGTAAAATTTTTTTTTAGAAGACTAGATGTGAGGTATTTTTTCTCTTTAGACTTAATTATTATTTTCTTACGTATTCTTGTAAATCATTATGAACTTTAAATTGATTTGGGAGTTTCGTGGCGTAATGGTTAAGCTTACAGACTTGTATGGACGGGGTCGTGAATTCGAATTCTGGACAATTGACATCTTGCAGCAGCTATGTCCATTTTCACTTTAAAATATAGATCAGAAATATGTTTTCAATTCAAAGTAGCTTATTTCGGAGGTGAACTGCAGTGTGAATTGATAATGAAAATCTCTCACACTACTTCTTCCCTGAATTGAGTTTAACTCAGCTCACGAACCTGCTCATTATATAATGATTTAGATTCATATAAAACTTTTGCAATAATATATGCTATGATAGATGATTATCGAACTGTTAAATATAGAGTATTATGTATAAATAAGAATTGCTCGTTCTTTTAAAATAAATCTTTTCATACAGCAAACGTTATTATTATATTATGTGACCAATAACATAAAAATAGTCTAATGACCCATATGAACCAAAATTATATAAGATAATATCAAACGATGGAATTAATTTAAATTACAATCATTTCATATTCATACGAGTACCCCATATCAATTTCAAACAATTAAGAGTCCGTTATACAACAGGGAAGTAGAATCGTATTCTTTAAATCAATAATCGCGTTCGTTTTGAATCGGTGCCGCAATCTGTATATATAAAGATGATATCAATATGTTATAATATTATTAATGTGCTTATATATGTAAATATATACATAGGAATCTGTACATTGCTTATGATTTGTATTGTGCGTAATGTAAAGTAATGTTATAGACGTACGATATGTCGCTTGGCACGCTAGACACGCTCGCTAATGCGAAGAGCGTCCTATTCAGAACAATTACGAATGCAACGCGTTACATTTAAAGCAGTCATTGACATACTAGGGTCCACTTTCTAGTTTTTAGAGAAAATACTATATTATTCAAACCTTTATCAGGTTTTAGACTTTTATTAAATTTCTACTTAAAAATATATATGCAGGAATACCCAGCTTAACGCGGGGGATTCGTTCTAACAAAGTAGAGCTTAATGCAAAACAGCGCTGAATGAGGCTATTTTTACATAGAAATGTTGGCGTTAGGGAAAGATTGCCAGAAAATTGGTTAGGTATAATTTTTTTTTAATATTTTTTTTTTTGGAAAATTAAAAACAAAGTATAAATAACAACACAAAAATTCTTGAAAAACGTATAAAATTATAAGTCGGTCATATTTAGTTAGCCTTTTGCAGTATTCTGTATTTTTGTGACAAAAGCATCTTATGTCGTTTGTCTTTTTTTTTTGCGTTGTTCTGTTAAAATTTCTTCATAAACGAATAGAGCACCTCTAACACCACGCCTTACTCCTGAGCTTTACCACTTCAAAACCTAGGATGAAATAAAAGAGCGCTATCCGAAACAGCGCTAAACAAAACAGCGGTAAGCAAGGTATTCCTGTATATATTTAATATACATATCTCTAGATAATAGTTCAAATTAACTATAGTGGAGAATGGCATCGTATCTAAGACAAATTGCTGGAAATTACCGTATCATCATTTGAATTTTTTGAAAGCTTTATATTTTTTTGAAACTTAATTTTTTTGTATTTTACAATTTTAGAGATGTAGTAACGAAACGCAATGGTTCCGCGTGCCAGTAAAACTGTAAAACATGATAACTTTTGTTACAGAACATAAACAACAAAATTGTACCTAAATATCTGATAATTTGATGTTTCGGAACGTCTGTACCTGCCTTAGCCAAAAACTAATCAACACTTCATCTTAGTAGTATCATTCCTCTACGAATAAATATTTCAATTTGTGTTTCTTTTCTGAACATTCAGTCCATTAAATGAATGAATACACAATCGAAATTGAAGGAATTTGAACAATAAGTATTGCTTCTCAATTTCTAATATTATTCAAATTTCTAAATGGGTACATCATGTATTTTCATATAATTACTTTATTATTCTGTATTTATCAAATTAAGCATCAATTTAAACATATTAAAAAAAAAACGATGCATTCCTTATATAGGTCGAATAAATGAAAAAATCGATTTATTTTTTCATGTATTCCGAACATTTTGTACTGGTCTTCCGTAAAATCTGTTAGAAAAATATTGGAACTTTTTGTTTCTTAGTGTTTCGCACCTTTGGGGTGAAAAAAGCAGAAGTCCAATTTTAAGGAAAATAGCGAAAAAAAATTTATACGATAAAAAATTAACTAGGATTTTTAATGAACATACTTAATAGTTATATGCTTGATATCTAATTTAACATAGATAGTTGTATGCTTGATATGTTATTTGTTGTGATGTAGTAAGTTTGGTTTTCACAGTACAATTACTAAAAGTCAAAATAGACTTTTCCCACCATACCCTATGTTAAATTTTATAGCATAGTACAAACTATTATATTAAAATCATGATATTAGCCACTGCTCAGAAGAATTGATATCAATGATATTATCGGCGCATTATCATACGGAAAAGCGCCGAGAAGCACAGGCGCCCGCTGGCAGTAGAGCATTTATTTTTCAATTAATCATATGCAATGTCCAATTGTTATATTTAGTTTATTTATTCATATACATATTAACACATGCAAATATATACAATTATAATTATTGCCAGAAATATGCGTAAATGCATGCGTACCTATATAATTAATAACTTTTTGCTAATTATTTTCTACTTCGTCTTCTCTACTTTCTATTAATTAGTTTAAATAATCGAAAAATATCGAAAAACTGAATAAAAAAAAAATAAAATTTGTGTTATATAAAAATATACATTATTTTTTGTATATTTATACTCATGTATATCTAAATGACACATGTATATCTTCTGTATAAAATTTTTAAATCTTACTACTATCTTTTTTTATTATTGCATAAAAAGTTTCATTGCATGAACTTCAAATTGAATTAGTTTAATATTCTGTAACATGAGTTCATCAAATGAGATACAAGATTTTTATAACTGAAATATACATATATTCATGTAAATATGTATCTTATGGGTAAAAATAACCGGTTACGGTGCATTACTTTTGAAAATGATATTACCAGCAATATGTTTCTTCTGCAACAAAGCGTTGTTGTACGTGGCTCATCTATTTAAGGATATGTAGAAATACATATGTGAATGTGATGTTCTGAATAAAAATATTTCCATCAAATATTTATAAAAAAATAAATATATGTAAATGGGTATCTATGAAATAGAAACTACTTACGAATAAATATTACTTTCGCATTTGAAAAATCTCATATTGGCATATAGGGTAGCGCAAAGCCCAAAAGTTCAATTTGGATATAAGCAATTATATTTTGTTAACCAAACCAATTATATCACATCAAATAATATATATCAAACAAACAGTTATCTGACTATGTTTAGTAAAACTCCAAGCTAATTCATCATTGTCCAAAAATGTTTTTTGCTAGTGTTCAAAAAATTGTTACCTAGTACTTTTTACACTATAGGCGGGGTAAAATACGTCTTCCAGGGGCAAACAGGCCATATTTCTTAATTTCAACTTTGGAGAAATTTTACAAAATAATAGCTGCATTGATCAACCATTGCAAAAAGTAAATTTTATGTATGCATTTTTCACAGAGATAACACTGTATAAAATCTTAATCTGGTATATTGTCAAAAATATTCATAATTATAATTATTGATTTAATTTATCTAGTGTAAAAGTGATTTTTAACTTAAATTACTTTTTTATTTATTATTTTTCATTGTTTACATTTTTGCCTTAGTATATATTTAGTTAGTCCTTCTTACTCCACCCATAAAAAAATGATGAATCTAACTTAAAAATTACAATATATCTTGTAAAAAAATTAAATTAAATATACTTATGAATTAAATTAAGGTCTCATATCCAAAAAAAACTAACAACGAAAGAAAATACTTTTGTTAAGGATTTTCAACCATTGCCTTTCCCGATAAGGGACGTGATAAGAATCATAAATGTACCTGGTTATACATCTTTTTCTATCTACTTTCAAATATTGTCGTTAAATAATTATTAACTTCAATTATTTTTTTGATATCAATGGTGAACCCTTTTACCCGCGGTTTTTTATCATCTACCCTAAGTAGTATGATTTTGAAATTTTTATAAATATAAGTTTATGGTTATTTTCAAAAAGCTTTGATGTAATAATTAATATCTAACTAAGAAAAAAAAGCATTTGACTGGGAACAATATGAAACATATAAATTAATTAATACAAGATGTTCATTTATGATGATACTTAAACTAATTTTAATCAACTATATATATATATATATATATATATATATATATATATATATATATATATATATAGATGGGTGTATGTGTGTGTGTTGTATATCTAATTTTTGCTGTAGGCTTCCTTCGTGCCGTTGTCATTCCGTTCCAAGTGTGTTAATTATTATTATAGATGTGCGGACAAACTATTCGAGATAACAACGATTTAAGGTCTAAGGTCATGACAATACGAATAGATCACTAGTGAATCGACTAGAAACTATCCATTTAGTGCCTTCAATAAAAATATAAATACAGTAGTTTTTCATTTACTGATCAATTTGAAATTTTTAGTTGCACACTAACTATAATTTAGTATTGAATAGTTTGAATATTGATTAGGGTAGAGTGAAGCACAAAGGTCCGAATTTGATTCGGAAAACACCACACCAATTATAGCCCGACAAATAACGCATATCAAACAAACGACTATTATATGACTATGTTCAGTAAAACTGCCCACCAATTAATTCATCATTTGTAGAAATGTGTTTTTTGCTTTTTTTAAAAAAAATATGTAACCTGGCTTTTTTACCCAATAGGCGGGATAAATTGAGTCGGCTATAATTAATTGAATAATTTAAAACGGATTTCACGAAATATTAGCTACTTTGTTCTACCAATACAATATGTAAATTTCATGGGTGCATTTTTTCAGATATGACTCTGTTAATAACCTTGATCTGTTTTTTGTCAGAAATATTCATCGGAAGAGCTAGAATCTTTATACTTGTTTATCTATGGCTAGAATAACTATTTGTTTAATTTCACTTTTGTCAAATTGCTTTTTTGAACTGAATTTACTCCTTTATTTACTAGTTTTATTTTTTAC